CGGGATAGGAGGAAGACTTTGCCCCCCGCCCGCTCCCCGGGCCGTCTTTTCTCCGCCACGGGCCTGTCGGCGCGCGGGGTCCGCTCCCGGTCCCGAGAAAATCCAGGTCCAGGTCTTCGGTGCTGGGCTTGGAAGGGTATTTGGAGGCTCCGAGCTGCAGGAGCGGAGGGTTTCTGAACGCGGTGAGCGGGTAAAGCCTCCGGGGAGGCCTCGTGCGCTTTGCTTCTCTGGGCTTTTTCGTGCCAAGTGAGGGAAGAGTTCATTCCGGGATGTCCTCAGTTGAGCTCCTGGTTTTCCCTTCCTCTCTGCCAAGGTGGCACAGAGATCTCGATTCTGGGCCTGGACTTCTAGATCTGTGTGATGTGCAGGCTTGGATGGAGCTGATGCAATAGCCCCCCAAACTTTTTCTGCATCTATTTTTTGGGGGGGAGGGTTCCCTAAGACTCCATTCCAAATGACTTAGAATCCATGCCAGGGTGGTCTCTTCCCTCCCAGCAACTTGGAATGTATTGCCAAGGCGTGAAGTTGCCGGGGCTGGAAGTAGAAAGCAGAAACTTGAAAGATGCCTGGGATTGGAAGGGGGCTTCATTGGGGGCAGAGGAGCCCTGCTTGACGCAGAGGGGGCTTATTCCATGTAAGGTCAAGGGGAGTTCAGAGCAAGGGCCACCAAACACGGATTTCCTTCTGACTCAACAGAGAGAACAGCCTTTTGCAACCTGGGCTTTACCAGAGATGGCGGATGGCAGTGTCCCTGTCCTAGATGGTGCTCACTCAGTAAATGCGCAAATGCCTCTGCAGTCAGATGGGCAGAAGCAATGGAGCAAAGAGAAGTTTTCTTGATTCTGGAGGCCAAATGTAATTGGAAGAAGCAGAATTCACTAACTCATTCCTAGGTTTTTTTTCCCTTGAAAAATGATTTAAGGAAAATGAAAAATGATTTGTACCATTCCTGCTGCCCTTGGCCTTGCATTGCCAGTTCTTCCCCTCTCTCAATTAATGCCCCCCTTGGGCCACCTCTTCTATCTGCTGAAGCTGCTTTGCCAAACTCTCAAGGCATTTAAAGGTAGCCTTCATTTTCTTGCTTTTTTGTGACGGTGTGTATGGCGGTAGGAGGGTGGGGGGAACCTTCCCATTTCTTTCCTTTTTTTCTGCAGTTTCCAATCTCAGATATCCTCACTGAACTTTCTCTTCATCAGCCCCATGGAGGAATAAAAGTTATTTTCTGGTCCAGAGAAGCACACTTTTATTCAGTGTTCTAGGGTAAAATTCTGCCTTCAGATACCCAAGCCCTGAAGCACACAATCACAAGAGATGTGAGGCATCCTCTGGAAGGGTGTGAGAGTTTCCTTCATCTGGGAAAAAATCAGAAGGAGTCTGACTTTCCAACTAACAATTTTTATTAAAAGGCATAAGGTTTCAGGACCTAAATCTCCCTTCATCAGATGCATCTGATGCTACCAGATTTGATCAGAAGCTACCAGACTCTTGATTTTTTGGCCACCGTAGATCACACAGCTGTCCTCCTACAATGTCATCATCCTGCAAGAGCTCAAAAATAATTAAACACTTGTACAGCATAACCTCCTCCTTCCCTGATCCAGGAACAGAATGGAAACTGTGTACAGTACTGTCAATTCCCAACCTGATAGGCAGAGGCAATTTTTAGCATCCATCTTTCTGTCTTTCCTTCCTTCCTTCCTTTCCTATTTTTTTCAATCTGCAAGGTAATCCCATTGAAGATGATGCTGATGGCTGGTTGTAACATTTTTAAAACCATCAAAGAGACAGAATGAGGATATTGCAATAGCAGAGTAAGAAATAAATAAATAGCATGACATAGCATGGGACTTTAAAAACAAATCCTCTTCAGCTTAAGACAAAAACAAAACCAGCATCACTAAGCAAAGAAGTGAGTTAAAATAAAATAAAGTATGTCACCATCAGAAGGTGTGAAAATAATTTGGCTGAAGGTCCTTCTAGTACAGTGTTTTTCAAACTTGGCAACTTTAAGATGTGTGGACTTCAACCTGCTGGCTGGGGAATTCTGGGAGTTGAAGTCTATACATCTTAAAGCTGCCAAGTTTGAAAAGCATTGTTCTCAGGACCTTCGAAAAGTCTGGTTACAGTGAGAGCTACGTATTTTGTTTTATCCTGCCCTTCTCTGAGAAGCTTGAGGTAGATGTTTCATCTATCTTTGTTTCTTTGCACAGCAACTCCTGAAAAGTAGGTTCAGCTGAGAGATCATAGTTTCCTCCATTCCCACTTCATCATGGCTGAATGTGGCTTTGACTCTGCTTTTTTCAATCCTAGTCCATGGCAGTATCTTCTTCGCCTTCCAGATGTTCTTAATCGGCCCCCTCCATATATTTAAGCAAAACTGTTCTTCCGATTTTCAAAGCTTCCCTACCGGGTCACCTGTGATTCTTTTTTATTCCCCCTAGGCAAGTCACCATATATGAGACAGCTTCAACCAAAGGACCTGGGTGTTTGGAAGGAAAATTATATTCAGCTCTGTTCTGGAAATTTCTAGAGTGCTTTGGTTTTCCTTGTTTGCAAATAGTTTAGCATTTGTCAGGCCACCAGGATCTCCAAAATGGAGTGAGTGGCTGCTGTAAGGGCCTCTCTTGCTTTAGCTGTAAGCATTTCTGGTTGAGCTTCTTGTCAGATACTCAGAATGTGTTTCATTAGAAGTGAGATTCCTTACACTTGGTGGTTCAGAACTCAGGTTGAGAAACCCGGTGGCAAGAAACGTGGTGGGCGAGTTCACACTAATTAGACTTTCAGAATTGTGCCATGTCATTAAACTAATTCATTGGGTTGATTTATTTATCTATCTACCAAATTTATATAGCCGCCCATCTCACAGATGTGACTCTGGGTGGTGTCCGATAAAACAGCCAGCTAAATATAAAGCAACAATTAAAAACACTTTACACACAAATATAAATAAGACCGTGGGAGAATGGACCAGCATCCTACACACAGTGTAATATCTTGCAGGCTCCCTATTTCTGTGGGATCCCCAAGCCTGTTGGAAGAATCAGGTTTGAGGGATTTCCTAAAGGCCAATAGAGTCAGGACTAATGTCACCTTGGGAGGAATGATGGTCCAGTGGATGGGGGCCATGGCAGAAAAAGGCCTCCTCCTAGATCTTGTCAGATGGAACTCCTTAGCAGTGGGACTATAATATACCCCTCCTGCTGGACCTGATAGGACAGGTAGATGTAACCAGGGAGAGGCGGTCCCTCAAATAACTTGAGGTCATGTTACTCTAAATTAGAAGCTGAGTTGGGAAGTAGAGATGGAAGGGGGAATGGCTTGAAGCCAGAAAGGCAACATGAAGCAATTTGGTCATCTCTGCACCAGATACAATAACCTCCACCCCTGTGTAGCATGTCATATCTCCAAAATATGCTGTGCGTACTTCAGGTAGCAAGAATTTAAGATTGTATAGTCAATCTTGTGCATTATTTTTCTTTCCTTCCTGAAAGGCAGTGCTTTTGCTATAAATGGCGTCTCTTCTTCTGAGGACAATACATCTTTAAATACCAGGTGCCTTGGAGAGACAATAATGAAAGGTAGTCAGTGGTGAGGATTTCCTGGAATATCTTGCTGGTGTTTGTGAGCAAAAAACTACTAGATTAGAAGTACGGTAATCCTAGCAAGGCTCTTGTGTTCTTCTGTGTTGGCCTCATGCAAAGTTATCTCCTCAGAAGGCATAGAAATACAGTTGCTTGCCTGAAAATGTTTCCTGCCCCTGGAATATTGCATATTCTGCTTTGATTGACACATCAAAGTATTTTTTTGGATACTGGGGAAAAAAACATCAATTCTATCTAGAACAGTGTTTCTCAACCTGGGAGACTTTAAGATATGTGGACTTCAACTCCCAGAATTCCCCAGCCAGCCAGGCTGGCTGGGGAATTCTGGGACTTGATGTCCACATAGCATAGAAATACAATTGCTTGCCTGAAAATGTTTCCTGCCCCTGGAATGCCCCAATATTCTTGGGAGCGAGTAGAATTACTGGCTTTAGATTAGGAAAGACAACTTTCTAGATCAGTGTTTCAACCTTGGTGACTTTAAGATATGTGGACTTCAACTCCCAGAATTCCCCAGCCAGCCAGGCTGGCTGGGGAATTCTGGGACTTGATGTCCACATATCTTAAAGTCACCAAGGTTGAAACACTGATCTAGAAAGTTGTCTCTCCTAATCTAAAGCCAGTAATTCTACTCGCTCCCAAGAATATTGGGGCGACCTGAAATTACTTAGTGGTTCAGAAATATTCTTTGCATATGTTCAAATATACACTGCTTTCTGCTTCCGCTCTAAAACCAGTTCCAGGTTTCTTAGCAGCTGTTCTTCAGCTCTGGGCCTGCCTCCAGCTGATTTTCTTGAAAGCATTTGGATTCAGAAGTTCCGAAGCAATTCCATTACCAAACAAATCAATGGTCTTGATTTAGGTTGTGTGAAGCTCTTTGCAAATGACACACAAATGATAGCCTTTAAAAACAGTAACCAAACGTGTAGGTGCGCATTTACATTAGGTGTGGCCCTATCTGGCACTTGTGTGCATTGGATGAAGGTACAGTCTTATGTGTTGTGCAAACCACGGTGGCTGGATGCCATCTTCTACTTAGGTGGCAATATTTTGACTATACAGTAATTTGTCACAACCGTAATTTTAATTATTGATTTATTAAATGTATATGCCACCCATCTCCCCCAGAGGGTGACTCCGGGTGACTCATAATTAAAATCCAAAACTGTAGAAACAATAAAAATATTCATATCCATATTAAATTAGCTAAAAAAAATTCTCTATAAAAAGACTATAGACAATTCAAGATGACGGGGGCAGAATCAATTATTCCACCAGCCAATTCCAACAATGCGAGCCCCCATCAGACCCCCCAGGCCATGTGGCACAGCCAAGATTTCACAGGCCATGAGAGTGGCAGCGGTCTACACCTCAGATGGTAAGTTGTTTCCCAGGGCGGGGGCCATGGCAGAAAAGGCCCTCTTCCTAGACCCTGCCAGCCAAAATTCCTTGAATTTTTGAAATTCCTTGAATAATTAATTTCTTATTAATGTTTCTAGTGGTTTAGAGCCATTGGATATCTTATCCTAGGCTTTCACTATGTGCATCTAGTTGACCTAAACTTGCCTCCTGTGGTCACT